AATGGGGAAAAAATAAGAACCAAGATACATCATGTAAAGGTACAAGTTCCCAATGAGAAATGTAAATGTATTGTATACCTAAAATGTCCCAATCAAAGAATTTTTTTTTTTGGTACCCACGATCGAACTCAGGTCCTTGTGCTTGCACAGCAGGCACTGAATCCACTGAGCTAAATCCCCGGCCCAAAGAATTAAAAAAAAGAACTTTTAATTGTTTTATCATCAGCACTGTGCATTTGTTATGAAAATGTATACATGCTTAGACATAACATGTAGGAACAAAGTTCTTCTCTACCTTCAGCTTCTCATGGCTCACATTGAGAAATTCTATTGAGTCTGGCAGCTTGGAATAAAATGTGATGTGGTAGGCCAGTCTATTGGTCTTCAGTAGTGTTGAAAGACTATGTCAGGGAGTGAGAGAAGCCTTCTGAAAGTGGCAACGTTTAAATGAGACCTGAAGCATATGACACTTGTAATTCATGTATTGATATGAAGAATTAATTTCCAGATAGAATAGGCAGTATGTAAATATTTGGGAACCTGTAGATGTAAGTGTTATATTACCTTGTTTCAACATACTCAGGGATACTAGAGTGATTTTCCAAAGAGTATTGTCATACACTTACTTTCCCACATTATTGTGGATATTCTTCATGAGTTCTTGTAAGTCAAAACTTACAAGTGAAATTGGTAGATAATGAAGGAGATCTCCATCTGCTTCCAAAATGCTGTGTAACACAAGTCCATTTGACTGTAGCATTGGGTTTGTTTCAAACATGAGTTCATCGCCAAATGCTTGTTAGTATTGAGTTAGTTCTGCATGCATGGGTGAGAGTGGAGTATAGAGGAAATATGTGGTTTTGATATGCAAAGAGTTGCTGGAGGCAGACTGAAATATGTACACATAAAAAAATTGTGAAGAGCAGTCACTGAAAGATTCATTTATATAATTATTTGAAGGGTCAATCAATGCATTTGGAAGATTAGTTAGGACTTGTATCTAATGAATTGTGGTAGGTATTTTTTTAGTTACTTGCTTACTTGTTTACTTAGTAACATGTAAAATATACATAACATTCAGAATTTAAGAAAAATAAGCTTATTTTGTCTCATTGTTTCGGAGATTGTAGTCAGGGTTTGAATGTTTCCAATGCAGAAATATTTTGGCAAATGGAAATGAAGAAAAAAGGTAACTTTTTTTTTATAACATAAGGAGCTAGAGAGTAGGGAAGTAGCCTGAGAGAAAGGATTCAAGGGATCAGATTTGGTCCTTAAAGTCAAACTCATATTACTCCACCAGACACACCTAGAAGTGCAATTTACTAGCATACTCAAGCCAAGTAAGTTCTTAACAAGTGTATCACATAGGTCCAGGTAATATATTACTTTGAGGAATAGTAAAGTCTTGAAGAGGCAGAGTTTCAGCCTGTGAGGAGGAAACTAAAGAGCATGGTGAGGTGAGTGACTAAAGTCCTTGGGTTTCTCTGCCTCATCTCAAGGAAATGGTTGAGTGGATTAGAAGTGAGGCTCCCTTTCAGCAATCATTCTGACCCTCAAGGGTGGCAATATGCTTACTTTAAGAATTCACGTTTTTTTCCTGACCCTGGACGAGTAATAAGCATGTCTGGGAGAGTCGAAATATTTCCTTTTCTTTCATCTTTACTCTTTTGCAGATTATTGCTATAATTTAACTGAAATTTCTTCATTTGCACAATAACTGTGCTCCTTCGGGGGGGGGATCATATATTCACTTTCTTAGCTCAAAATGAATAGATGGAGAGAGATAGTTTGAAAATCTTGACAATACAGCCTGTTGCCTCACTCCCAAATTTAGTTCTCAAACAGCCTGCTCCGTAGGTTTTCTGACATTATAGGAGTGATTCTTCCTTAGACTATTGACCCCGGACCGTCTTAACACATTTGTGACCCATTTTCAGGAAGAGTCCATTCAATCTTATAGGAAAACAGGAACAGCACTGAAAAGAAAGCGGTAAAGCCCTTAAATGTAAGTATCTCTTAGGCTACCTGAGGTCAACCTTGTAGCAAACTGCCTGGTCAGGAAGTCTCTGCGCTACAGTCTTTCTTTTGGGATCCACACCTGCAGGTAGGGGTTTGTTTATCTCCTTAGTCCTGGCCCGGAGGGCAAGGAAATAAAGCAGGAGCCAAACAGTGATGAAGGGGCAGGCTGTGTGAACTGTCCAATCAGGTAGGCCAAGGTAGGAGGGTTCTTCCGGTGTCATGGCGCCAAAGTGCCTGTCCTGAACACAATGCTTGCATTTCCGCCTTCTGTTGTTTCTACTGCCTGCGGTCTGTATAGGGAAGACCCAGGAAGACCCTCAATCCTCGCAATGGTAAGGTTGTGGAATGGGAGCCCTGAAATTGGGTGGAATCTGGGTGCAATCCCGTTAGAAGTGGTTCTAACCCGCTATGGTGGCTAGAGTCTCTGCTCTCAGCTACAGACTCTGAGGTCCTCCCTGACTGGCAATGACTCATTCTCTGCCCCTTTTGGACTTTGCTGGGGCAAGACTACCTATAGAGCCCCATAGCCCTGTTCTCACTGTGACATCGCCAGCCCACAGTGCCGTCTTAGAAACTCCCTGCAGCCCTCAGACCGCCACCGGTCTGGTGAGAGGAAGGGGCTTGGCATGACCCTGACTCAGATGTGGGTTGGAGCTGGATACAGCTGTTGTGAGCTGGGTCCCTGTTCTCATTCCTGTCGGTAACAGACCTGGAGGAGCTGAAATTTATCAGTATCTGTGATGCAGGGTCTCATAGCCACAACTCCTCTCCTCAGACTTCTGCTTTTTTGTATTTAAAGCGATCTCCTGAATTTCCAATATGTCCTCACATTTCCCAACTTGTGGTATGTGTTGACAAAGTTCCTGAGGATTTATAGAAAAGTGGTAATATGCGTCAGTGGTGGAACACTTGATAAACACCTAGTGAATTCCTGTGTTCCATACAGAGCAAAGCAAAAGAAATTTATAATTTTACTTATTTAGGTGACACACCTACTCACAATTAGACTATTTAAGTGAGAACTGTCCTACAGTTTAGTCATGTGTGGAAAATGAGGTGGGAATGTTAAAGTTTTAGCAAGGGCAGAGGAAAGTGTGCCTGCTAAGGACAACTTCCAGAATGGGCTGCCTGTTCAACCCATACTGAGAAAAGCTTTGAATTGGGGCATTTGCATGGACATTTATACGTGGTATGTGTATGAGCAAAAGAGACAGGGGTGTCACCTCTGAATTAATGGTAATTGAGATTGGCTTGATGGTAGTCATTGTTTCAATACTGAAATGCTGTCTTTGAGGAACACTTTAAAAGTAGTGGAGTGGAGAAGCCCCAAATAGAAGTTGTGCAAGCACATCAATGGCTAGGCATGAATGTTTTTTTGCTTAGGGCGGATCAAAGGAGAGTGAAAAGGAGAGTGAAAAGGAGGTAGAAGAGAATGGCATGATGAAGGGTGCCAGTAGTAGCACCTACAACATAGAAGATTTCCTCTGAGAGTCAGATTGTTCTTAGGGAAAGCACGAAGGAAGAACTGTGTGCTTGCATGGTCTGTGAGTTGGCCAAAAGTCACAAGCTTGAAGAAAGAGAAACTTAATAATAGGTAAATTTGTCTTCTGTTACCACTGATCAGTTCACCTAAACATTTCTGAGGCCAATAGGAAATAAGGAAACTGTCTGGCCTTGGAATAGGTTTAAAAACAGTGTGGACACCATCATGGATACACCCAGTATACAGAAGTTTTCAAGGTGTACTTGACGTTTTTATTGTACAGGAACTGAACTCTGCAAATTTTCTCTGAGTTACATACCCTAAAATTTTTTACTTTTTATTTTTTATTTTGTAAAGTTTTGAGATCAGGTTTTACTAAGTTGCCTCTGGTGGTAGGAGCTTTGGATAGTGTTTATACCTCACAATTGGGATGACACGCATGTGCCACTATGCCTGTTTCAGATTGGGGATCTGTATTCACCATGATTTACCAAGAGTTCAGTGCTTGGGTATAGTAAAAATCAGTAAGGCATGGTGGTTTACATCTTTACTCTCAGCTACTTGGGAGACTGAGGCAGGAGTATTACAACACCAAGCCAGACCTGGACAATGGAGCAAGACCCTCTTTCAATATGAATTACAAATTCTGAGATTTTTCTCCCCTGAATGCTAACTTGTTTAACATGCCTTAAGCTCTGTGATAAACCTCCAGTACTGAAGAATAATAGAAAAATTACTCAGTGGAAATCTTTCTTTGAGTTTTGTATTTTATTCTTTTTGCACCCTAGTGATACATGGTTCAGTATTGCTGAGGTCAGGATGGTGGACAGCAGTAATGAATCACTGCTCTGTCAGCAACAGCAAGCCAATGATGAACAAGCAGTGATGTACATTGCACCATATTCACTTAAGTGCATGAGATATTTAGAATTTTATTATGAATTTTATATTGTGTTAAATATATTTTCTCAAACACAGATCAAGCAAATGTGTTGGGCAGGTTTAAAGGATCCAAGGCTTAGCAGTAATGTTTGCTTGATCAGGCACATTCTGTACATTTTCAACACATTTTGTTTTCAAATTCCTTTGGTTTGATCATTATATTTTTCCTTTCTAATTTAAGTATTGTGTCTGTTTCAACTCTTCAAAAAGTCCTGTGTATGACATGATACTCATCAGATTGTTTCCCTTTTTGAGAGCTGTGTTAATCAGGTTCCCCAGAGCAACTGAATCATGAAAAAATATGAGTAGCACTTGGAAAAGGGAACACCACTCTGTATTTTGGGTTTTTTTCTTTGTTTGTTTTGATTTAGTTTGGTTGTTTTTATTACTTTTATAAAAAGGTGCCCCACTCTGATCATACTGTGTGGCTTGCATCACCATTACAAGGGGGATAGGATAGAGCTTTTCAGTGATCAGACAGAGCAGAGGCCTGAGCAGTTTGAACACAAGCCACCAAGCATATGCAAGGCTGAAGAGAAAACACTTCTATATCAATGCTGATTTATGTTGATTTTGGAAACCCTTCTAACTGTTTTAACCTTGAGTAAACATCTATCTTTTTATGCCAGTTTGCCTAGTCATGTAAATCCCACTTCTGTTTCCATGACATTAATGAGTTGAAGACATGTCTGTCCAGAAGTGCTATTTCCCCGGTCTTTCCCCTTTGCAATGATTTATATCTCTCTGGGAAAAGAGATAACCATGGGCCTTTGTTATTTGGTCTATAAGTTACTACTTATTGCAGTAGCTGAATCCCCCTAAGTTCTTTTGAGGACAGACTTTCTATTGGTATCCTTGAGTTGCCCATGGAAATAGCCTATGACATAGCTGAGATAAAGCGTAGAGTTTTGGTTCAAAGCAACTTTCAGTACATTTCTACCTCCCTGTGGGTGTCATCATACAGCATGAAGTAATGGAGTCTGTTCTGGCTTTTCACACTAGTGACATATGAAGTGAAGTGTTAAGTAATGAAGACAAGCAGTGAGTGTGCAAGGAGAGACAGAGTCCTTTGTGGAGAGTCATTGAGCTTGGATTTGGGTGCAGAGCTAGAGATTTGGCAGGTCTTTGGGTCTTCAGTCATGTTCCCCCCCCCACCTTGGTACTGGAGATCGAACTCAGGTCCTTGTGCTTGTGCAGCAGGCAGCGAAACCACTGAGCTAAATCCCCAGCCCCCAGGTCTTTGGGTCTTTGTCCAGTCTCATGCCTTGTCATTCAGATGTTTATGTGTCCACTGCACTGGGTAAGTAAGTGGTTTTCATGCATTGGTGATTGTGCACATCAGAAAACGTGAATGTGTTTCAACTTTTTCTTGTCATTTTGACATAGAGTGTAAGAAGGATTTAGTAGCACCTTGGGGACAGAGGTCAAGAATGTTGAACACTCACATAACAAACAGAATAGCTTTTATTAGAAGGAAATATCAGCCCCAAATATCACTTGTGCTGTGCTTGACAAACCTGTTGCAGGTGTGTTTTTGTTCCACATTGTGCCCCTGCATACTGCTAGGTTATACCCAATAGCTTCAGGTACATTTTTTGTGCTTGCTAAAGACCCTAGATACTGATGCACACTGTACATGTGCTCTCCCACTGAGCTACACCCCAACATCCTGTATATAAGTTATTGCTGTCCAAGTGCTATGTTAGAGAGTTCATACTGTCTTTTAATGAATTCACTCAATATTATTTTCCAGATTTATTTGCACTGCTGTATGTAGATGTAATTCCTGTCATGATCCATATTGTTTGTCTGCATAACATTTTATTTCCCTTTCCACAGTTGTGGGAGGGCAGGCTTGTCTAATTCTGTCACTGATATAAATGCAACAAGGAACATGATCTTACTTGCTGTCCTAGAAGCAGATTTGAGAAAATCCCATGGATGCTCGAGAGCCTCTTTGTTGGTGCACAAAGTGTGTATCATTTAGACTCTTATTACCCACTGTCCACACTACAGCGCTCTAGTTTCTGTTTTCATAACCATCAGCAGTGGACTTTTTCTAATTGGACAAGTTCCATGGATTCATAGTGAAATTTGGTTGCTGCTTTTCATTTTTTCTGTCTTTTGTGCCTCTTTTTAGGGATTCTTTTTCCATTTACTCTGTAAGACATTTGATAAATTATCTGCTTATATCATGTTCTCATATTTCTGATGAGTATTCTTTTGGTTGTTGCTTTCCTAGGTATTTCATTATTACTTGTAGAGAATCAACATACCTTCTTATTTCTTCCATCTGCATTTTGATTTCATTGAGAATTTTCTTTGCTGAACAGAAATCCTTACTATTATTTTTTGTACCTGTTCAAAGTCACCTTAAGATTTGTAGCTTTGGAATTTTATTTCTGAGGATTTTCTCATTTGTAGGATCAATCAGCAAGTCATTTTCTTATACTATCTTCCATATTTTAGGTTCATATTTTATATTGTTTCTTGAATCTATGAAGAATGTACATTTGAAAGCTTGTGAAACAAAAAGAAGTTTCACTGAGCATATAAAATGAGCAATTTACTTCCATAAAGAACTGGTGTATCACATCTTACTCTTCGTTTGTAATGCCAGATTTATAAAATCTGTTTGATTTAAGCTGATACACTTATTGATATATTTTTAAAGTTTAGTGTGTATACATGTTGTCTGAATTTGAGGCTTAAATGACTGTAACTGTATAGCATTTGGCAAATAATTTGAGAGAACATCTCTCTCTTTTTTTTTTTTTTTTTTTGGTACCGGAGATCTAACTCAGGACCTTGAGCTGTCGAGGCAGGCGGCAGAACCACTGAGCTGAATCCCTGGCCCGCATCTGTTTTTTAGTTTGGGATTTCAAAAATATGAGTGTTCTTTGTTTT